CACCATCATAACAATCATCATCATCACCACCACCACCACCATCATCATCATCACCACCATAACCATCATCATCATCATCATCATCATCATCATCATCATCATCACCACCACCACCACCACCACCACCATCATCATCACCACCACCATCATCATCATCATCACCATAACCATCATCATCATCACCATAACCATCATCATCATCACCACCACCACCACCATCATCATCATCATCATCATCATCATCATCATCACCACCACCACCACCACCACCATCATCATCATCATCATCATCATCATCACCACCACCACCACCACCACCATCATCATCATCATCACCACCATAACCATCATCATCATCATCAACATCATCATCACCACCACCACCATAACCATCATCATCACCATCATAACAATCATCATCATCACCACCACCACCACCATCATCATCACCATCATAACAATCATCATCACCATCATAACAATCATCATCATCACCACCACCACCACCATCATCATCATCACCACCATAACCATCATCATCATCATCATCATCATCATCATCATCATAATCATCATCATCACCATCATAACCATCATCATCACCATCATAACAATCATCATCATCACCACCACCACCACCATCATCATCATCACCACCATAACCATCATCATCATCATCATCATCATCATCATCATCATCACCACCACCACCACCACCATCATCATCACCACCACCATCATCATCATCATCACCATAACCATCATCATCATCACCATCATAACAATCATCATCATCACCATCATAACAATCATCATCATCACCACCATAACCATCATCATCACCATCATAACAATCATCATCATCACCACCACCACCACCATCATCATCACCATCATAACAATCATCATCACCATCATAACAATCATCATCATCACCACCACCACCACCATCATCATCATCACCACCATAACCATCATCATCATCATCATCATCATCATCATCATCATCATCATCATAATCATCATCATCACCATCATAACCATCATCATCACCATCATAACAATCATCATCATCACCACCACCACCACCATCATCATCATCACCACCATAACCATCATCATCATCATCATCATCATCATCATCATCATCATCATCATCACCACCACCACCACCACCATCATCATCACCACCACCATCATCATCATCATCACCATAACCATCATCATCATCACCATCATAACAATCATCATCATCACCATCATAACAATCATCATCATCACC